TTCTGGAAGAAGACTCACATGTATTTAAAGATGAGAAGGGCACCACTCTTTCCCAGAATGGTTCTTCTTTCCTCCAGCTTGGAATGCTCGTAGTAGTAGGCTAGACCAATGGCACCGACCTTGTCCTAGACCCTTACAATATCTTTAGAAACCTTTAGAATATACTTCTTAAGTACTTATATAAGTATAAAAGGATTACTATTATCCTTCTATCTTATATTAAGTAACTTATTAATAAGAGTATTATACAAACTAATAAGTAATATAAAAGTAGTATTATACTCTTTAGTTTATATCTCTTTAGTAATATTATTATTATTAAGTTTAAAGGTATCTGTATTAATATACTTCTTAATATAGTTTAATTATAAAGTAGTATTAATAAAAACTAACTAGAATTACTAATTAGATTTACTTTTTAGCTAAAGAATACTAAATAAAAAGGTCTTAATACTTTTACTTATCTTACTAATTATTTAGAAAGATATAAGTAAAGTAATAAAGAAATAAGAGAGAGTAAATATTATTAATTGATATATTAAAGAGAGTTATAAAAAGTAAAATAATATTACTATTTTAATATATTAATAGGTCAAATAATTTTTTTATATAAGTAGTAACAATCTAATGTATTAAGAGTAATTAGAAGCTATATGACTATTTACTAACTAATCAGATTATATAAATATATAGATAACTATAAAAGTAAGAAGAATATTATAAAAGTAGAAAAACACTTAATTTAAGGCTATAGATACTAGTAATCTAAGTACTAGGCTTATAACCTATAGAGGTATAGGCGTAAATAAGTAGTAACAAGAGTGATATGTGTAATAAGAACTAGCTAAGTGGGCTGCCTAGCTAGGAGGCTAGAAGAAGGCTCTAGGGGGCCCTAGGCCGCACAGGCCACCTGGGGCACCTGGGGGCAGGTGCCGCCACAGATCATGAGAATGCCACGCGTGGCTATGCCAGCGCCGAGGGCTACGCTGTGAGCATTGGCATGTTTTGGAAGACTGGCAAACACTAACCAACCCGTATGTTTAAATCAATTACCGCTGTAATCAAACCTTGCAGCCAGGCAACGATTGAACGAACCAAACCCATGCGATTGACCCTGGGGAATCGTCCTTTCTAGACAAGTGCTGACCGAACGTTTCGCTTAGGGATCGGCTGAGCAGAAGCACAGGGGTTCAGCTTCTATTCCCAGCAGCTGTGCAGGCGTTTTTCTGCGCCGGGGACCTATTACTGCAGCCTGGAACGGGTCTAAGCCGCCTTTTCATTGCACGATCCCGCATTGCAGGAGACCGGAGTTCCTCCATGTCTCTGGTCTAATTATCTCAACTCCTCCTATGATTGATCTGAAAATCGGATTTCTTGAAAACAATCCTTCTCTGGCTTTCAATTCTGGGTCGTCAGATAGAAGTCAATTTTTAAGGTTATTTCCCCGGCAGCGGTATCATGGCATCTTACGAACATACAACGCATGCGGAGCCTGCTCATGTTGAGAACGCCTACATCGAAAACGGCCTTCATCCCGTGCATCACTCCGACAAGATTGTCGGCGGGCCAATAGAGCACCAGTACGATGGCCAGCATTATGGCAGATACACACAAATCAGCGCGGCCACGACACTCAAGGCGGAGAAGAGAATATGCGGTGCCCGGAAACCAGTCTTCGTGCTGTGGTGCATCATCGGCTTTATGGCGGCCATGCTGGTGATGGTTGCTGGCGTGTTTGGGGCTATGATAGCGAACCAGGATGCAAAAATACAGAACATTCAACAAACAAATGGGGGTACAAGGTGAGTTACTAACGACAACGCCACAACTTGCTTAGCGACACCCAGCTAAGGTCTCATTAGAACTGCCTCAGCATCCGCAGCCGCCACGACCTGGGTAGAGATCTCCAATTGGGAGTACGTTGGCTGCTATCGTGATAACGATCAAAGAACTATGCGCGACGAGTACCAAAATTACACCACCAGTCAGACAAATCGACAGTGCAAGGCCTTTTGCGAAAAGAATTACGACTACTTTGGTACCGAGACTGGGGGCGAGTGCTACTGCTCCAGCACAGCGCCAAGCGAAGACGCGCTTTCACCGGCGTGGAATTGTAATGCACCCTGTAGAGGGAGCAGTGATGGAGAGATTTGCGGGGGAGGTTGGTTTCTGAGCGTGTGGAAGAAGTCGAAGAAGGCTTGAATCTTGAGGAGCAGATTAGATCTACAAGACTTCCAGATTAGCGGGCGTTTTGGTCATGAGCTCTCCGGGACGGGAATCATTGCTGGGAGTTCGGTGTGCTATGCATTTTCCTACATACCCAATATTACTGTTTGGCTGCATTGCTTCAATGACTGTTACAATAGACCAACAGGCCTCCTTTATTGACGCAGTCCACTCCAACAGCATGAGTCGATACCGCCATTGAGGGAAGCCCTTCAAACCCGCTGATTCTGGCTAGCTTCCGTGCCTGTTGCCGGCGCCCTCCGGGACGGCACGCGCATTCCGTCCGCCAACGTCCGGGGCCCCGACATGGCTTCCGCGTGTTACATTAGCGCCCCGTATGTGCTTGTAATATGTATGACCAAGGCCTGACATGCGTCGCTCTCTACGGCAACTTCCCGAATTGATCGAGATAGGATATTTGCATGTTCAATGGATGCTCAAATGATGGCGCGATACGAGAAAAGGTACAGCCGCCCGGCATGATGCCTCCAATTGGAAAACGCAACCCGAAAATTGTGTACCTTCCTAATGCATGTTTGCCAAGAATTGACGGTCAAGAAGATCTCCGCAACCTTAAAAACAAAGCACGCGACCTTGCGGCATTCTGGAATCTCATGATCAACACCTAGATCCGTCTACTATTGTTTCGAGGTGATCAATATGCGCGTTCTTCACTTGGGCAGCTTGCTGTCCGTCGTGTCCGGCGCTCTTGCCGCGACCTTCACCTCATGCTCTAGCACTCAAATAGCCACCCTCGAAGCGGCGATCGAGCGAGCCACGAACAAGTCGTATGCAGCTATTGACCATCTGGAAGCCAACCCCAATGGCAGCGACATCCAGACAACATGGTACGGCACGTTTAGCACCGAGCGTTACAACCGTGTTTTGACCGCTTTCAAGGTAATTTCCTATCTAGCATCAAATATGCCAGGGCATGCTGACCGAATCGCGTAGAAATTCGCGCCTGATCTGGCCACGACATTCAGATATGACTGCTCCTGCACCAGCTCAGTTGTGTTTGCCACGATCGGTGGTACTTATGGCGACGTGAAGATTTGTAGTGTGTACTTCAATGAAGAACTGCTGCCGCCTACTGGACGTCATCGCAACCAATGGGAGTAAGTCCAAATCCAGTCAGTATCTTACACTTACCTAGATAATAGAAGTTCTAAGCAATTTCTACTAGCACCATTATCCATGAAGCGACGCATTTCAGAGACGTTCTGGGCACCACTGACTACGGCTATGGTGTCGACTACTGCAAGCAATTTGCTTTGGAGGATCCTGAAAAGGCGGTCAAGAATGCTGAGTAAGTCATCAAAAGCCTCTGAAAAAGGTGTTGGCCCAGGTTAACGTGTATCTTGCAGCAACCACCCCCGTTTCGTAGTGGAAGCGCCACCATGGGGCCCTTAGAGAGTATCCGATCTTGCTGCAGAGGAGGAGACCGTGGGTAATGCCCAAACTTCTGCACATTATTCGAAGGAGCTGACAAGAAGTGGAAGCTGCTGACAGAATCAAACATTGAACCCTTTTCCATACCCTTTTCCATAAAAGAAATAGCAGTCCTCTTTCGTAGATATTGCCTACGAAGTATGTTGATAAAGGACGTGGCAAAGACATTAATCATATGGACAGCACAAAAGCTCGCCCTTCATTTGTTCCAGCGCTCTTGTGTTCCGTGCTCTTACCTTCAAGGCTGTAGCAGGAAGCAGGAAAGTCATTTGATTTTAAGATCGCCTGCTTTTCCTGTGGCTATACTCTAATCACTTTACTGTCATTATCGTTGTCTTCGTTGTCGTCATCCTCGTTGTCGTCGTCTTCGTTGTCGTCGTCTTCGTTGTCGCCGCTTCTATTACTATTATTATTATTTCTATCCTTATCTTTAGTTCTATTACATTTATTATTATCGTTTTAATTATCTTCATCCATTCATTATTATCGCTATTGCTAGTTCTGTACTTCAGCCACGTCTATGGGATTGTCATTGGCGCAACTGGAGTTGAACACAGGGGGCCTTCACAAGAAACCCAAGAGAAGATCTTAGTCGGGTGACAGTCGGTCAGGTTGTGTAAGGGAGTTCACATAATGAAGTCCGTCTGAAGATGAATAAAATATTGGGTATATTTGGGTACTGTGCAGCTTCTTACGTGTAGACGTCAAAAGGCTCCAGGGTTTGTGCGACGTGCATACAGCATGCGAGAAAACAACCTTCCGAGTAAGAAGCCTTTTCGTGGATTAAGTTCCATAAATACACATCTGAATGGACTTTTATCGGTATTGTCGCAAGAACTCCCGAATAGCAGCCGGCACTGTGGCCGTGTTGCCATGGATGATAAGCTCGCAATCACCCCCGACTCTGTCGTCTTACATCCGCCGATCGACCCCACGATAATGCACCACATACGATTGGTCGACTCCGTCGGACAGCCCCCGACACCTCCCAACACCAACGAGATTCTGCAGCGCCATACTCAAAGAGACAAGAACGTAACGTTCTGGCATATCTAGCGAGAGCTGCTTTGCCTCCATCGGGGATATGGTCCGGTTCTACCTTTGGCATCCAGGCATGTTTGGTGCTATCAATGCATGGCAGACATGCCTCGGCCGTCTGAAATTCGCTCCTCCGATTGCGCAACCTAAGCTAGTGTCGATGGAAGAAGGCATACATATGCTGCCATGCTGCCGTATTTGAAGCTGACTACCGTGGAAATTACACTCTTCCCTCACGGCATCTTACCACGCCTTGAAGATGACGGAATCGCAGCCTACGAAATCACCCTCGCGGTCCTTCCGCTCTTTCATTTGGGATACCGACACCCATCTCAAGAGCCATGAAGAACGAGTCCTTCTCCGCAAACTGGACTGGTCCATCCTCACCATCGGGTGCCTGGGGTTCTTCATGAAGTACCTAGACCAAGGTAACCTGGCAAACGCCTATGTGTCGGGGATGCAGGAGGACCTGAAAATGTTCGGAAACGAGTACACCTACGCTCAGACAGCATACACTTGCGCGTATGCCATCATGCAAGTGCCGAGCACCCTAATCGTGCAGAAGATTCGCCCAAGTATCTGGCTGGCTTGTATGGAAGTTGCATGGGGCGTCTTCACCTTTGCTCAGGCTGGCACTCATAGCTCCAGCCAGCTGTATGCGTTTCGGTTCTTCGTGGGCTTCTTTGAAAGCAGTTTCTTCCCCGTGTTGCTCTACGTGCTTGGGAGCTGGTATACGAAGACGGAGCTTGCTAAGAGAGTGGCCATTTTTCACATGACTGCACCCCTTGGCTCTGCCTTTGGAGGTAAGTGTTGATGAAAACGTCTATCTTTCAACATTGTTGACTAAGCCCTTTTGTAGGATATCTTCAAGCAGCCGTGTACAAGAGTCTTGATGATGCCCATGGTCTGTCTGGATGGCGATGGCTATACATCGTTTGTGGAGTAAGTCGAAGAAAAGATCCGTGAAATTTCACCTCGATACTGATTAACCCAGTGTATGACTGTGCCCGTCGGTCTAGCGACGTTCTTCTTCCTCCCCGATACGCCATACACCACGAAGTCGAGGTTCCTGACCGCCAAGGAATGCGAGCTGGCTATCGAGAGAGTCCAAAAGGCTGGCAAGGCGGCACCTGCAGGAGTGACCTTTGCTACCTTCAAGCGTGTCTTATCAAAGTGGAGGTGGTATGCGTTTGTGCTGGGTTATGTGGTGAGTGCATATCAGGCGTCGTGCAGATGCGATACCAAGGTTGCTGATAAGGACGTTGCAGCTGTATGGCGAATCCTGCCAAGCCAGCGGCTACTTCGGTATCTGGCTCAAATCGGAAAACTACTCGGTCGTTGACAGAAACGTGATCCCTACCGGCTCGAGGCTGATCATGGCCTTTTGCGTCATTCTATGGGGCTTTTTGTCTGATTACACTGGCAGCCGTTTTGCTTTGATTTTGATACCTTTGGTAAGCCGCGCATTCGCCGTATCATTTGTGTGAAGATATCGGAATAATGCTGACTGATAGTCGAAATAGATACTGGGCCTCATACCCAACGGCATCTTGGCTGTATGGCCTGCTAGTGTGCCCCTGAAAGAGGCCGCATTCCTCACGAGCAGCATACATTTGATGACAGCAGTGTTGTAAGCATATCAAATCAATTTCGGCAAGGAGCCTCTCCGTATTGATTAGCAATTCTTAGCTATACCTGGGCCAACGAAGTCTGCGCTGGCGACAACGAAGAACGCGCACTGGTCATTAGCAGCATGAACGGGATGCAATATGCAGTTGACGCCTGGCTACCTATCGTGATTTTCCCTCAAACCATGGCCCCCAGTTTCAGTAAGTCGCGAAAGATTGACGCAAAGCTGTTCTGCGTCCGCTAACAGCTTGGTCACTTAGGACGTGGTTTTCCCGCTACTTTCGGGTTCATCATCGCCGCGATAATTGCGGTCATCAGCATCAGACTCCTCCTGTTGCGCGAACAGAAGAAGAATCCCGAAGCTCCAGTGACTTCTCTAGGGGCTGGTGTTGTTATTGAGCACGACAAAACGGCAGATAGCGCAGGAGAGGCCGATAGAGCCACTGAAAAGAATTAGAGCATGATGTTTCTGTCGCGCGGAGCGATGGCAAACTACCGAGTGATGGTCGGTATCGTGAGTGGATGGAGCTTCCGTGATTGAGGATTTGGAGGCGCAGCAGGAAGTAACTTCCAGGCTCAATGCCATTGTCATTGAGGGTGAATGCTTCCTTTTGTAGGCGTGAATGGGCAGGTCAGCGCTAATTTACCAAAGCATTGCCGTCCGATATGGGACTTGTGGCTTGGTCGTTTTGGGGACATCGGAAAGAAGAGCCTTGCCCACGTCATATTCTGTCAATCAAAGATCAGCAAACGCTGTGTAACTGCCCAGAATAAGCTTGTTCAACCAACTGCCGTGTATGTCTCGTAAAGTCGCAATCTCATTTGCTGGTGAACATCCCACCGGTACAACCACCCCCACGAAGAACTCACCACCAGCAACCCATCTCGCCAGACTGATACCACAATGACTCGAGACTTCCACTTTCGGCGACACCGTCGATCCATTGCCTCACCAACTTGGAAATCCTTCGGCAAGGTTCTTCATGCAGTCCGGCAGCTCGTCTCATGTCAGCTTACGCTCAAGCCGTGCGTGCGAGGCGAACGCCAGTCAGTTGACAGCAGTTCGCTCATCATTGCGAAACCAAAGACCAAAAGCTCGGGACAAGCTCCAAGAGCTGCGATGCCCAATCAGGCAATCCTGGAGAACTATGCATTTATGCCCTCGCAGCCTTATTATGCTTCGGCGCTCTCAATTGGGCATCACTGGGAAATTCACAGACCGTGCACTCCTGGTAAACCACGCCTCTCTTGCCAGGATGCTTCATGTAACTCGTCGAGTCGTCTCGGATTATTCGCACAAGTGACCCCGCAGCCGGCAGTTCCGAGTTACGTGTTTCACCGAGCTACTTAAGCTTCGACAGTCCAATATTGATAAAGCTAGCGGCGCATGGAGGAATTTTCCAGAGTTGTTCTCATCTCATTCCATCTCATTCTAGCTGCATCCTTCATCGCAAAGACGGCCAAATCTCACCTTCAACCTGCAGCGAGGGCCAGTTCTCATCATCGCGATATCGAGCGCGACCGTGGTTTGCGATAAGACTCTTCTCAACCGAAAAGAACGAACAGATCGCCTGACGACACACATACGCCAGCCACCACACGGGAACGCGCAAGATGGCGACACAACCGCAAAAAGCGATCATCAAGGGGTCATCCGCAGTCCCGGGGATCTACCAGCTCACAATCATGACCGTCGAGCCCATCTTCGCGATCCTGGGCGCGGTCATGACGCTGCACGCGCCGAACCAGTATCAGGCGGGGCTGACGCGCAACTCGCACACCTACGCGCCTCACACGCAGTTTCTCTTCACCCAGCTGAGCGGAGGATGGCTCTATTTCGCCTTCATGGAGGGCGTGGTGCTGCGGCTCTTCGATGACCTGAATCTCTGGCGCGTCGTCTGTGCGGGCATGCTCCTGAGCGACGCGGCCTACATGCACGGATCGGCACAGGCCATTGGGGGCTGGGAGGTCTGGTTGAAGTACCAAGAGTGGACCGTTGAGGATTGGGTCATCTTTTGGTCGACGGCACCGATGGTCTTGGTTCGGATTTTGATTGTGCTTGGAATTGGAGTGAGAACTTCTGCCAAGGGAGTGAAGGCGGAGTAATCGCGCTCAAGGAATACAGCCCGGTTGTGTTGAGCGTTGTGTATCCTTCCAGGCACTCTTTTTGTATATGGTAGAGCAAGGAATCGCCTATGGCAGCCCCATGTTAGATTATCTTTGGTTCATTCCTGGTGTAGATAGTTCATCTCACAACTTGAAAAGCGAAATATTGGAGCTACAAGAACTGACGTCACCCGTGCGCGCTGAGGTCAACACCATTAGTAGCTTTGACATGCCGTACATAGCGCCTCGCCCATGACTCGCGCTGAGGGCAGTGTCAAGCATGGAGCTAAATGGTGTGGACCAAGTGAATTCATTCAGAGCCGCTAACTACTTGCATATACAGCGGAGGTCAGTGGTGTTTCAAATGGCACAAGTCTATTGGATGTGTAATCTATCGCGTTGCTTGCAGGTTGCTGTCCCCTCAAATCTCAAAATTGCCTAGCTAGACAGGTATCTTCAACGGACTTCCAGCCGCCTTAGCTACTATGAAGATCCAAATCCAGAATATGGTGATACTGCAAATTCTGTATTAGTTGTAAGGGATCGTGGTAACAGACGGGTTTTCAACTCACGAGGTAGACGGCTAGCAATTGCAAGCTTGACAAGCACTCGTAGCGCACGTGTCGTCTGCGACTTCCGCAAGAACACATGCATTGTATATAGGTTCAACACAGCAGCATTGCTTGGCGCTGGCAATGCCCAAGAAGGTAACCGCAGCAACGAGTAAGGAGGTAACGCGCATGTTGACAGAGCTGCAGCGAGCGACTTTGATGATTGAATTGGAAAATGAACGATGGCGAATGAAGTACTGAGGTCAATTGAGGTATCACGGAGACTATTTATGTTCCAAAGGATGGCCGGTTCCTGTTGTTGTGTAATGGGCGTCGGCATCGTGTAAGGTTCCGTCGGACGGCTTAATAGTATAAGGTTTCCCTAAGCGGTGAAGCTCTCCTAGTTGGGAAACTGAGGCGACTTTTACTAGTTGGAAACGTGCACAGGTGGGTTTCTCATTTCGGGCTTTGCAAAGAACACAATTCTACATGCAAGCTGGGCAGCTGGGACAGGTCATGGAATGAGTTTTACGATCCGGGTGGGTAGTGGGCATAGACGACGATATCGACGGCGACGACAGCAACAACAGCAACGACGACGATAACGACGACGACGATAACAACGACGACAATAGGGATAGGGAGAGGGAGAGGGAGAGAGAAAGGGACGATAGGGATGATAAGGATAATAAAGATAATAATAACAGTAAAATTATTTAGCTAAAACAGACTACTAGGCCTAGTATAAGTGTTATCCGCCTAGATAGCAAAACTCTATAGAATTTAGGGTAAGAGTGATTTGCATATAACAATCTAAGATTATGCTATTAGACTGAGTCTAGGTCTTAATAGATCATAAGTAAAATAAAGGAGGGCAAGTTGAAGGTATCTGCTGAGAAATAAGGCGTTCAGGGGAACTAAGATTTGTTATATTGTGAGGTGTTAAGTTAAAACTGTCGTCTTTAGGGAAAACCTCGCGCACTAACGTATGGATTGCAGCATAAGTTCTGCATTCAATAGCCTAGTGCTCTAGCGCAAAGTACCATTTCTTTTAACCTCACGTAGAAAACGCACCTTTTAAAGCTCCTAGGTGCTGTCACTACAGCTTGTAATTATAGCTTGATATGCCTAGATGCAATAACAACAGAGGAGAAAAAGAATGTTGAGAAATGAAAGATGATGAGCACGTAATGCGAATGTGAATATGGAACTGAAAAGAATACAGAGAGAAAAAGAAGAAACAAGTACGCCCTACTGCCTCGGGGCAGTGTCCATCCAGCGCTTCCAGACGGTTTCCCAGAGCTCCTTAATCTGGACATTCTTTCATGCTGCTGCTTAACCCCTCAGCCATCGAGGCATCCTTGGGAGATGCAGTGGTAACGATTGAGTCAATGTAAAGACTGAAGTAGGAGTTGGCGCGGCTGTCTGGAATTGCCTCAGAGATCAGATGGGGAAGGTACCCTCTGAGAAGAAGGCAGAAGTGCCCCCAGTCTGTCTACCCCTTAAGGTTGATTTCAGCCGCTAAGGTACTGACAAGCTTAGAACCACCTCACTTGCGAAACGTCTACGCAATAACACTAAATTCATAATTGTTTTAGATTTCCTTAAATACAAGACAGCCTTCGTTAGTGGTGATGAGAGGTTTTTATGCTCTCCGAGATAGAATGAGAGGATGGCTTAAAGCGCAGAGCTGATACCGCGGATTATCTTTCAGAAAACCAAGCTACAAGTCACATTGAATATCCGCAAGATTATGTCACTTGCCAGTGCCGATGACGAAGTCGAGGGTGTTGGTTCGCACTCGCCAGGTGGCTTAGATTGAATGGTCCATAACTCGTGAATATCCGTCATCGTAACGAGAATTATCACAATCTCGTTCATTCTCTCTCAAACTGCCCCATTTCCGATTGAATACCGCCCTTCTACAACATGTTTTGCTCCGTGTGTCTCAAATGCCTCAGGAGTTGCCTCGTTCCCTACGCGTTGTCGGTCGACGTAGTGGGCAAGATCGGCTACAGCTGGCCTCCGCAAGATATTATGCCTTTGACTGAGAGCCAAAAGCAAAGGCTTGCGACGAGTAAGATGTTTGTTTCTCAGGTGCCGTGTCTCACTAGTTTGCTCATGTACTGATTCAGACTCGCCTGATCCGACCAAACGATTCAACCCTGAAAGATATGCATATGGGCACCATAACACGCCCAAATCATTTTTAAAATCGGGAGGAGAAGGTTGCAAGATATGCAGTTCTCTGCGGGTCAACACTGAATACACGGAGTATATGGTTACTTTCGGATATTTCACCTTGTTCAGTATCAAGTTCGGCATAGCAACACACACCGTGCCTCTCACGATGTATATCATTTGTGAGAACGAATCTTTCAGTCGCTATGGCGAGTTCTGGCCATATTCAAGTTAGTATGATTCGAACATAGCTATATGTATGTTATGAAAACGACCGACAGAGCTAACTCAAATTCACAGCAATTCAACGTCAGATCCACAACACGATTTTCGAATCAACTGATGCTCCGAGTACCTGGGCTACCATCCAGCACTGGATGAGAAGTTGCGCCGATAATCATATTTTATGCAAAGTCCAGTCGACATTTATCCCTACACGTCTCCTGAAACTGGACACGACCGGCGGAAAGGGAATTTTCGCCTGATTGTCCGCGAGGAAGTTGAACCTGGATCGGACTACGCCGCCCTAAGCCATTGCTGGGGAACCAAATATTGGGACCCGGATCTCACGCTTGGGGCTTCCACGCTGACAGACTTGTCAAGGGGGAAGCCCCTTTCTTGTCTACCAAAGACTTTCAAAGATGCCTTCATGGCTCTGGAACGGCTCGGGTTACAGTACATATGGATAGATCGCTTGTGCATTCTTCAAGACTCCGAGGCCGACTGGAATCGGGAATCATCATCGATGCATAATGTGTTCAGGAGTGCGTTTCTTTGCTTTGCAGCTTTGGGTGCAGAGAATGATGAAGGATGTCTTTACTTTCGCCGAGATCCGAACGAAATCAAGCCCGGTATTGTCGACTTTTCTCTATATGTAAACTCAGATCCGTTAGTCAACGCAGAAGAAATCTCCTTGCTTCACAGTAGGAGCTTCGACCAAGCAACTCTTTGCAAGCGAGCCTGAATTCTGCAGGAGAGAGTCCTAAGTCCACGAACGATTTACTGGGGTAAAGAGCAAGTCTTTTGGGAGTGCCATGAAGCGCATTGTTCCGAGAGCCAACCAGATACCGACTGGATTGGCGCCGCATGGGTTCGGGATAATGAGTTTCGAGACCTAGGGTCCATTTACGAACGAAATACATTCAAAACTCTCATGCCTCGACATCCGGTGGGTCCATGGCCGACTTCCGAACTTCATTACCTTCAATGGCGTGACCTGGTTCACTCTTACTCGCAGTGCCAACTTACAAAACCACGCGATAAGTTGGTGGCAATATCAGCCATTGCAAAACAAACGAGAAGCTCTTTGGAAGCCCTTGGCGAAGCATCAAGATATTTGGCAGGGATATGGGAGGCTCAATTACCTGGGGCTTTGGCGTGGCTTGTGATGCGAGACAGCGCACGCGAGAGACGGCCTGTCAGATACCGGGCACCCTCTTGGTCCTGGGCCGCAGTGGATGGGGAAATTATGTGTCCCCGGCAGACTTATGGCGACTCGTTGTGCGAACTCGTTTCAGCATATACCACTCTCCGGACCGATGATGAGACTGGCCGGGTAACCGATGGCGCCGTTACAATTGAAGGTGCATTGCTATTAGCCGCAGTCGGTGATGTTCACTTTGAGCCGGAAATGGGGAGACAAATGAAGGCAGAAACGTGCCGTGAAGTCACGGTCTTTGAATTTCGATACCCTGAGCTTCTAGGTGTACACGGAGATATGATCGATTTAAAATCCCAACCCTCAATATGCTTCGATACTCTGGACGACATTTGCGCCGAGGTTTGTTTCCTACCTACCGTTTTTGAGAATGGGTATGTCTTAGGACCCGCCTTGGTTCCAAAGGAGGGCAGGTTCACACGAGTTGGTGCGATTGTGGCTAAAGTGTGGAATGATAACTGGAAGTCAGGGTTGGCATGGCTGACCCAGCTCCCCAAACGGACTGTAGTTATTAGATAGCTGGCCACTTATATCTTTCATGATGAATTACACCCGAGGAAGAGATTGGAGTGCTGAAAGTGGAACCAATGATAGCAAAACAGCTTTGCAGCCACATGTACAGCAGGCATTCAATATCTGTCGAGCAAAAAGGCTCGGTGCTCCAGATTGCTTAAGGTTGGCAGGGCGAATACATGTCAAATGCGACATCAGAATGAAGTTTAACAAGACAATGGAACAGTTGAATTGTTACAATTCAGGGACAGTGACGCTAGAAATGAAAAGTCAAGCGACGCGAAAGATATGGTTAACAGAGGGGGTTGTCACCCGGCCAGATCTTAGAACCCTCTCAATACGATGCAACAGCTGTGTCAGTGCCACATTCATACGTCCTAACGCACTGGGTCTTGGTTGTGATCGAAAAATGAAATGCAATTGCTCGCTTCCTGAAAACTGCCCAGACCTTCAAAGTCTTATTCTAGTCTTCCTTTATTCCACCATTTGGCATCTTCCACCTCGGCCTCACCCGTCTTGATTTGTGTCACCACACTCTTACTCCTCGCCAACGGGTCAACCTGCCGCACCACAAACTCGTCCAGATACCGCCCATTCGGCGGCGCCCGCGATTCCTGTCGCAGGCTCGCCTCGCTCCCAACCCTCGACCTCCTGTCCGGCTCCATCTCCAAGTCATCGTCCAACTCGACGCTCTCCAACCGCCTGGCCTCGCGCGTGACCTCGATCTCCTTGGTGACAAAGATGCCGTCTCCGAAATCGCCAAAATGCTTCCGCAACACGGGCCAGAAGATGGGTACGCTGCACGCCACCATGGCCAGGTCGACCTCGACGCAGGCGATGACGACGCTGATCGGGGCGTACCACGTGTAGTCGAGGGTCGGTAGGGTCGCGGCCTTGTGCTGGACCACGGAGATGAGGCGGACGATCGAGATGGCGTTGACGATGAGGCCGATGGTGAGCAGGACGAGCAGGCCGAGCTTGGACTTGAGCGTGGCGTCGCGCTTGAAGTAGAGGGGCACGGGGATCGCGAGGACGAGGAGGTCGAGGATGACGTTCAGGGCGGCGTGGCTCGCGTAGGTGCCGTAGAAGATGTCGGCGTTGAGGGAGCCGTAGCCCCAGCGGGCGGCGGGGACTTGCCAGTCCCAGTAGGCGCGGATGGGGTAGCAGGGGATCCAGCCGAGGAAGCTGTAGGCGATGGCCCAGAGTCCGGTGAAGAGGATCATGGCTTTGCAGGCGCTGCGGAGGAAGCCGGGCTGGTCGTAGATTCGGACGTACTGGAAGAGCAGGGATAGTTTGATGAAGGCTGTTGACATCTGGTAGGAGGCACTCGTGATGTAAAACGTCTGAAATGGCCAACGTTAGTTGGGCAATTGTTGATAGACCGGTAACCGGGGGGGACTCGTCACGGGGCTCGTACGCAGAGATAGTTTTGCACGTCTGAAGCTGTTAGTTCGTAGAGATGCTTGCCCAAGCCAAAGGAAGTCGCTTTGCCATGTGTCAGCCAAGAAGCCATCGAGATGATCACATCTGAGATGTGACAACTTACAAACACAAGCACCAATGGTGCCAGTTGTCGTCGTCAACAGCGATAATACGACGAACAGATCGTCCCATCCCAGAGCCTTAACCACCATCCCCCGCGTGTACATACGAAAGGCGACACATATCCATGCGACGACCTAGAGCGCCAATGTCAGATCACACAAATCGCTTCACATTTCGGGTGGAAGACCATACCTCAAAGGTGATGGCGACACCCAGGATCGTGCCCTTCTCGTTCACCAGCGGCTTCGGCTCGTGGGAGTTGTCGTATCCGGTGCCGAACAGCGTATAAATCGTTTTTCCATCCATGGCTGTCAAACCACGGTGGGGGATCAAAACATTAGACAGAAAAGAGAAGTGAGTCTGACCCAAACCAAGCAGTAAAACTTGGGAACAAGTCAAGAAGCCGTGGGGTGATCAGTGCAGGAAAAGACTAGCAGAGGAAGCAGGTAGGTTATGTGAATATCAAGATAGAGACAAGCCCCATCCCTTCTCGAAAGAAAAGAAACGAAGAGAGGTACACACACCAACAAGACGACAACGGTTCGAGCCAACAACCGATCTGCCCGTTCCGGGTCCGTGGTATTATATTCTGCTCTGCTTCCTCCAGCAAACGAGTCCACAGATGGCTCGAGACGAACACCAGAGCAGCATAGTGCCTGCCCAGGAACCCGCTCGCCACCCTTGCTAACCATATGCCGAACGTCAGTAAAGCCCTGCTGGGGGCCCGGGGGGGCTACCCTACTCCACAGTTCAAACCATACCCCTTTTTCTCCTAACGCGTGCCGGGGTGAGGGCGCCATCCTCGAGGGAGGATGCTGCTGGCTGGCTGCTGCACTGGAAAATTCCGCGCTGCAAGCAGCTGGATCGCGGTGGATGAGAGGACAAGCATCAAGGGCCTTTGACAGCAAAGGGGGGCCAAGGGGGAGCCTGGCTTAGTGGTGCTGATCTCTTCTTTCACTTCTTGCTTTCCCCCGATGGAATGGCGTCCGTGCGATTGCAACCCCAACCCTGACATGGTGTGGGAAAGAAGAGTAAGACATTGTGGATTGAATCGGTCGTCTCGTCGTCCAAACAGCAGCTGGGAAGAGGCTGCGGCGCCAATTGCTGGGCTGGAAGAGTGCAGAAAAAAACCTGCTGGGGTTCGAGGAGATTAGCACAATTGTGCATGAAGCATGGCGCCGCAAGCCACGTTGTCACCATATCATCCAGCCAACCTTTAAACGTCGTCGAGGCGCTAAAGAGGAAGCACGGGGCGCTGGGCAGTTTCTTTCGAGGCCGTCCGGCGCCCGAAAACCCGGGAACAAGTGTCTGCACTAAAACGCTCCAACATTCAACGAGAAGGTGGCAGATCTTCTGCTTTTGGGCGATGGTCTCCCCCGATTATGTTTATCGTCTAAGAACGTGGCTCCGGGCTGTGGCTGGGGCTGGGGAAATCAGATGTACTTTGTGACATGTGAAGGACTACGAGGAAACTCCCTTCTTCGGTGATATTTCACGACTTGTGGAAATGAATGACATTCACTGTTGCATGGCAAGTGACGGCAGAGAGATAGAGGCAGCAAGATTGAAGGCACAGGCGGACGACCCCGGTCCCTTGCGCTGTGACGAGAGCCCCGAGTCAGTGACCGTCACCCGCTAGAGTGACCGCGTGTTTCAGCGAATGTAGGTCCTTTTTCTGCTTCCATCGCTGTAATTCACTGCGGTTTGCAGTACAGATAAGGCAGTAAACCCTCAAAAATATGAGCTAGAGATGCCCGAGATATCCGGGACGCAACTGTCAAGTCGAAGAGTTCACGTCGCCCGAAGCTTGTTTGACGGCATGTGATGTGTGTGTGTACACTTTCACGATGAAGAAGGTCTCGACTGCAAAGGGGGGGGCCGTTGCAGCGGCTCAGTCCAGGAATCCACGTAATGCATCGGAGTGTGTTCCGCCTAGTATTCCAATTCTACGAGTCAAAACACTCATAGCATCTTGTCTTAAACCGTCCAAGAATCAGGGCTCGACGAGAGCCAACCATTGTGCTCATCCACGACAGATAAAAAGAGGAGACGGCAATAATACAGTTGCGTGCCATCTTAACACCCTTCGAAAATTCAAGATCTTGAAGTCTCGTCTATCGCCGTGGGCCTCGTGGCTCATACGCCTCCGGTTTTACAGCTCCGGAGACGAGCACCACCCTCCACATCAAATTTCGGAGGCAACTTCTCGCGACTCGAGATCGAATTGGTGTGACGTCCGGCCGTGATGGGGGGAGGGGGGGGAGGTTACCTCGCGGTGCAATCGTGGGCTCAATGGCTCATATCCACGTGCTCTCCAGTTGCACCACAGTAACCCAGGGAAGCGGGGGAGGCGAGTTGGAGCTTTGGAGGAGGTCAACGCGCAAATGGCTGCCCGGGGTCGTTCACGGCGAGATGATCCCGAGTGATGCTCGATTGTGCAAGTTTTCCGGCGTGGATATTCCGTAATAGACGAGTATGAGCTTCGTTGACGAGATACGAGGTACGACCCGTGCTCCAGCAAAGCGAACGACGGCAGCGGGGCCCGAAACATCAGCAGACAGTGCGCTGTTATCAGTCCTCAACCAGAAAATGAAATCTCGTCAATCTATCGACTGCCTGTACGCTCGGACGCATTTGATATTATCAAAAAAAGGGTCCAACGAAATAACGTACGCATTTCTTCTCACCGAGAGCGAACGCACATATCAACCACTGCGAGACTGAATCATTCACTGAAAGGCCCACGCAAGATGGGGGACAAGTACGTCAACTGTCAAAAGACGTAGGTTTCGCACGGGACAGTCTTCCGCGGGCGATCCTGAGCCGGTTTTTCTGTCTGTCCCCGAGTCAGCTCTTCCACGGCTGTGCCGCGTCGTCGACTGTCACTTTACGGGTGGATTGAGGCTCCATCCGGATTGCTCCTGTCAGTAATGCTAGCCAATTTACATAAAGTGCTGACTGACATGCGCTGGGGGTCACGGGGTTGCCACTGAAGGAACAGTAAGAAACAAGAGTGGGGGGAGGGCATAAAGACGACCTCTGGGCGACGAACGATGCTTCAATGCTCCAGAATTCAGAGCGTCTAGGGAAGCTCTGGCCTGCCCCGGTGGCGCTGAGTGCCACGCGGGCCGTTGGGATCGAGGGATGTTGCCGGTAGACTGGTTACGAAGCCATCGCGTTTGCTCAGAGACAATGTCGACGATGCTGGGATTTCTCCTGTTGGCTGGGTTGAAGCTTACTTGCTAGCTGATTTCATGTCTATGAAGTGCAGCGGAACGGGCGCTAATTTTCATCTTATCTCTTTGTCGGCAGGCAGACGCGATGAAAGTGCGGATAGGGCTCAACTTTGAACATTCGAGAGCGACAAGCCACAGCCTTAATCCAACTCATTTAGAACACGCGAGTGAGGATCGAAAGACACAGCCATGTCTTTTCGCCCAAGCCACATGTCGAATGACCCCCAAAACCACATACCGTCATCGTCCAGACAAGATCCCCCATCGCAACAGAGTTCAGCGAGATCGCCAGAATTTCTCCTAAAATGTCACGCTGCCCTTCCCAGAGGACCGACCAGCCAGCCAACGCGCCCCCAAACCCAAGTCAGGACCTGTCACACCAAGGGTGGGTTTACGAAAATCTCGGAAAGTGGGCAATTCCAACCCGACCATTCTCGTTGGCAGGAATTCGAGATTGGAAACCTTTCAAACAGCGGAGTTCTGACTGGACTGGACCTCTGCTCTGAACCTCCGGCGCGACTGCCGTGCCGCCTTCCGCTGAAGATCTGAGTGCGCCTGGCAGTCTGCTGTTGCTGTGTGCTGTGTGTCTCTATGCTGGGCTTGTGCGCAACAAGCATCAAGAAAAAGAAAGCAAGAAAAGTGGCCAATCTTGTTTGACAGCTGCAAGACATTCGTTCCAATCTCCTTCCTCTCCCCAGTTTTTTACTTTCTTCGGCTTCGAGGCCTTTTCGTCTCGTCTAACCAAACAAACGTTCGAGGCTCGACCGTCGATCTGCTCAAAAAAACCACGCGACAGCGCTGGGGGAAGAAACATATTCTGAAGCAAGGTTTCCACATTCCCTTTCAACCCTCCCGGACGATGCAACACGTGGGTTCTTTACAACGACGAAACTTTAGAAGATGTCAAAACAGACGTCAATCAACAAGTGTCATTCATGACGGGCGCGGCGGTTGAATCATTGTCCGCGCCCCCCCCTCTTTAATGTTGCACGAATCGTCTGAACATTTGTTTTCCTGTCATCGTGATCGGGAAGAGCTTTGGCCCGCCAAGACATGGAACGAACGTCGATTTGGGAGAGAAACCAAACCTTCGCGCAGAAACATTCGCTGAACGGGTCAATGCATCGTGGTGATAGGTTAGACGAGGAAACGTACAGAGCGGCATTGAGAGGAACACAAATCATGGGGTCAATATTCTGCTCAGTTCACACACGCGCGATGTCGCCCAAGCCCCGTCTCATCACGACATCACCGTTGCACAACTCCTCATCACATCTTCACCACAAACCATCACAGAGCTTGGACCTCGAGATATGCCAACTTCTTCCATCCCGACATCCGCAACCCATCCATCCTGCCATCCCATCACGAACCTCAATCAAAGACACCCCAGGCCTCTTTCTCACGCCTCTAGCCGCCTTCAACCTCCACGAGTAATGCGATCTTCAGGCCCCCTTCGCCAAAACCACCCCAGCAGCCCCGTCTCACGAAGCGGTCCAAGCAACCAAAACCCACGAAATCCAGGCCCGGCCCCTCCAGGCTCCTCCTCCCAATTGGCGAGGCGCCTCTAAAAGCGTGCGTCGTACCTTGCAGTGCCATTCCGGCGCACGTTCCCCTTCGAAAGGGCAAGACGCAGCCCACCCACTCTACTCGCCATGATCCATCACGCAAAATCACGACCATTCCCCATTCAACCTCCAGTCTGCGATCAAATCACGGCAACTGTCCGGCAAGCAGGAGACAGACCAAGGCAGCATTGCCACGCTGCCACGCGCCGCCCTGTTCCCGGGTCCAGAGCACACCCAAACTCTCTGCATCTCGTCCACCCATCTCACTCTCGATCGTCAATCACCAGTCCAGCGTCACAACACTAAACCATCCTCCCCCTCTCTCGAACCCACTAACATGCAACTCACCAAAACCCTCTAAAACGCGAAACGCAAAACGCAAAACGCAAAAAATGCAAAAAAACAAAAAAAAAAAAAAAAAAACCCACGCGATGCCCATGACGTCCACAAGCCAATGACAAACCCGAAAGCGACCCGGAAGGCCAAGACCGCGGAGGTCCTC